ACTTACTCATTGTCATTCTGGAAACATTAGCCAGAGAAATTAGACAAGAGAAAGAAATAAAAGGAATAAGCATAGAAAAGGAAGACTTTTAAATTGACAGTATTTGTGGGTGACATGATACTTATATAGAAGACCCACAGAACACCACCAAAAGACATCTAGATTTAATTAACTATAGTAGTATAGCTGGATACAAAGTCAAAACTCAAAAATCATTAGGGTTTCTATACACAACTAGCTCAGAGATAAAAATTAGGCAAACCATCTTTCACAGTAACATTCAAACAAATGAAATATCTAATGATCAATGTAATGAAAGAAGCAAAAGACCCTTACATTAAAAACTACAGTACTCTGAAAAAGGAGATTGGAAAGGTTATCAGAAAGATATTCCTTGCTATTGTGTAGTAAGAACCAACGTAATAAAAATGGCCATACTAGACAGATAGTGAGGTTAAGCTTAACAGCCTAGGTTGTATGGTAATAACAATAAGCTTCTCTTCTGGAGGGTTAACAACCTAAGTTGCAGACCAAAATTAGAGAAAAAGGAGGGCTGCAAGGAAAGCCAACATTTTGGCCCTCACCTTCTAAGGTCAATTAAAACTCAGGACATATGAGAACTTGTGCTGTAACGTCATGTAACTTGGTAGTGTCCCAAATTTTCTGATCAAGGAGATTATGGGACCAAAGAGGAAAGTGATCGATGATGTAGAGTGTGCCTAAGGAGAGTCACATGGAGAGAAAACATTCTCTCAGGCTTTCACAGAGAGCACATTGGCCAAGCCATGGCCGTGACTCATCCACACGGCTGACACTGACAAAGCTTCTATAATCTGAGGTACAGGATCTCAGGATAAATCCTGAGGGGATTTCACTGACCTTATCAGATCCAAAAGCTACAACTCTTGTTGCATAGGTCCTGCTTTACCTTGGTCTTAACCATTCAGCAGAAAAGTACAAAAACCAAATATAAGAAGTAAAGCCATGCTGTTATGCTGAGCTGTCAACAATTTCTGACATTGCCAGTCAAGCGGAAGACCCAATACTATTATGGGCTACTGAACTCTTTTAGAATATTTTGCTGAGTTAACACACCTATAATATTCAAGTAATGGAACTTAATAAAAAAAAGGGGATACAGATGAATGTCCATTTTGTATCTGTGTATTCAAAGTGGTTAGGATAGATGTATAGTTACATTCTCTTAATGAATAGAGGGATTTGTTCTAATGGTGTTTGTAAATAGGATATCATGTCTGCATCTTGTGCAGCAATTAACCACTAGGAAGAATGTATGCAATGTGTTAATTATTGAAACTGTCCTACCAATTTGATTTGAAACTGTCTCATTGCTATTTGTTTCTCAATAAAATTATAGAAAAAAATAAAATAAAAATGGCCATACTCCCAAAATTGTGGTACAGATATAATGCAATCCCAATCAAAACACCAGTAGCATACTTCACAGAACTAAAGAAAACCCCTTCCTAACATTTGGGACCAGAGGATACCTAGGACAGCAAAATCAGCTCTGAGTAACAAAGGCAAGCAGAGGTCATTACGCTCCCTGACTTGAAATTATACTAAAACCTACAGTGATTAAAAACAGAATGATACTGGCAAACACACACACACACACACACACACACACACACACACACACACACCCCTAGTCCTGAGGCTCAATGCAACATAATAGAAGGTTCAGAAAAGATTCCAAACATACTTAGCCACGTTATCTTTGACAAAGGAGCCAAATACCTTCAGTGGCATAGGCTTAGGTGGGCCGGGGAGATAACCCAGTGGAATAAGTGCTTGCCTGGAAAGTGCAAGGTACTGAGTTTGGTCCCTGGTACCATCAAAAGAACAACAACAAAAAAATAACCTCGTTAGTAAATGAAACTGAAAAAACTGGCTTTCCACATGTTGAAGATTAAAGGTAGATCCATATCTTTTACCAATTCCTAAGCTACAATTGAAATGGGTCAAATATCTACATATTAAAACAGAAACAATAAATATGCTGGAAAATAGAACAGGTAGAAACTGTGGCGACATGAGTGTTGGTGAAAACTTTATGACCAACACACAAATCTCACAGGAAATATCATAAAGAATCAATAACTAGATTTCAGCTTATCAAAAAAAAAAACCCTGCACAGCAAAAGAAATCACCAACAGAATATACAGACACCCCACAGAGTGGGAAAGATTTTTTTCTAGCTACCCCTCAGACGAAGGACTAATATCTAGAATATATAACAAACTTAAAAAAAATCAAGCCTCCAAAATTTTTTTTCATAATTTTATTGATAAATAGCCTCCAAAATTTAAAGACCCAGTCCAAAGATGGTTATCTGAAATGAATGATCACTTCTCAGGTGAAGAAGTTAAAATGGCAAAAATACATAAAAAATATTCAATGTTACTAGTCATTTGACAAATATCAATGAAAACAATGCTGAGAATTCATCTCACTCCGAAAGAATGGATATAAAGAACTCAACCAATATTATATTCTAGTAGAATTGTGGGGAAAAAGAAACCCTTCTCCACTCTTGGTGGGAGTGTAGCCTGGTTGAAGCATTGTGGAAATCAGTGTGGAGATTCCTCAAAGAAATAAGATTAGAGGTTCCATTTGACCCAGCTATTCTTTTGGTGTCTTCCCGAAACAGTTAAAAGCATCACACCACAGCAATATGTAAAACATCCATATTTATAGTGCCATAGTTTCTAATAGCTAAATCTTCTGCTTTGACCTCTTGTGTGCTGGAATTCTTTCCTTCTTTCTTCCCCATCCCTTTTTTTTTTCTTTTGATACGTGGTCTTAATTTTTCATCCAGGTTGGCTGCCTTGAATTGACTGTGTAACCCAGGCTGGCATCCAACTCCTGGTAATCTTACTACTCAGCCTTCTAAGAGCAGAGAATATGAGCTTGTACCACCATTCCTGGCTGTGTCCTGGTATTACAAGTGTTCATTATCATGTTCAGGTTTTTAAATATGTATATGTTTTGTTGTCTTTAAAAATATATAGTTGTTTGATAATGTGTGTAGAATTTATGATTATACAAATACACATTGTCAGAGCTTCATGTTCAAGAAACTATTTTTAAGCTGAAAAGTACTGGTTGATCAAAAATTTTCAGAAACCACTGCTGCTTCAACTCTGTAGAATGAAATTTTTTTGAGGGTAAGGATGGCTTTTGTTTTGATCCATATCTTAAACTGTCTCCTGCACAAGGTATGTTTTCAAAAAGTATTTCTTAAGTAACTCAATGAATGAAGCTGCCAGTATCTGACACAGCATCATGTGATTTGAGCAATACAGCTATTAAGAAAGCTGTCCTTCTAGATATATTCTGTTTTAAGATATTCAAAGCTAAGAACTAGCAAAGACTTATAATGATAAGTAGTATAACTTCTCTGGTGTCAAGTCCAGACATCAACTCTACTAGATATAATATAATATTGGTTGCATTTTTTAATATGGGGATATGAATTCTTAAAACCTAAATACTTCCCTGGGGCTTGTAATCATTAGGTACCTAGGAAATATAACTGTGTTCTTTCTTTCTTCCTTCCTTTCTTTCTTTCTTTCTTGCTTTCTTTCTTTTTCTTTCTTTCTTCCTCAAAGTCTCGCTCAACACAGGAAAGTAATCAGTATTTGCCTACCAGCACTCATACTTGTAGCTTTGGGAAACAGAAGCCATGCCAAACTTGTTTTTGCTGTAGGTCACATAGTGTGAAAGAGACCAATGTGAAAGACAGCTTTACTTCACTATTGTTGAGTTTATTATAAGAAGATAATAAAAAACTAGGAAACACAGTAGACTCAAGTAAAAGTGACCCTTTGTTTTAAAAATTGACTTACAATGAAAGTATGGGGGATATTAATAGAGCATCTATTCCAGGAATTTTATTCTTATCCACTTTCTTTCTTCACTAGAGGCCTTTAAAATTCCATCTAACTGTAATATATTACCTACACAGCAGAATCAAACTGTGAAATAGCCAATCAAAAAAATCTGTTCAGTGAAGTTGAGTGCAAGGGATTTATTTTTTTCAAAGATTTGCTTGCAGGATTTGGATTCCACTTCAGAGAAATACTGTACTTAAAAAAATAAAATCCACACTTAAAACCTTCAGTGGCTGCTACTTACAAACAAATGACTGATAAAGAAAAGGCAGTATTAAAAATACTTCATGATGAAAATTTTTATTGTTTATTGGTACACTTTTAGGTATACGTAATGATCACATCCATTATACGAAATTTGTACCTGTACATGATATATCTTTACAACTCACACTTTTCTTTTTTTTTTTTTTTTTCCGTTTTGGGTGAGACAAGGTCTCATTATTCAGTTCAGGCTGGCCTTGAGCTCACTTTGTAGCCCAGGGTGATGTGGAACTCAAAGTGCTCCTCCTGCGTCAGCGCTGGAATTGCAGGCGTGCACCACCGCGCTCCGCCCCCACCCTCCCATCAAACCCTCTTTCCCTCCTTATTTACAAATTTGAGAGAATTGTCTGATCAGAAATCCCTTGTATGTAAAAAACTTGTTCGCAAAACAAATTACTTCGAACAAAACTGTACAAACGATAAATGAACGAAATTTAAAAAAAAAAACCTAGAACTTTTTTGCGATTACGTATTAGGACCCAAGGAGGCAGGTCAAATATTACGAAACTGCTTTATTAGATGAAAGCGTTGCACTCGCTTTGGCAGCACATTTACAAAACTGGTAAGATACAGAAAAGAATCAATATCTAAAGTAATGCTGGGAATTGTAGTCCTGCGCCAGAAAAGAGAACGGAGAACCACGAGGTTCAATCCCGTGTTCTGGGTTCTCATTGGGCCTGACCGTTGAACGCCTATCGCATTTCCGTAATTCACCAATGAATGAGTAAGTGCAAGAAACTCTTCATTGATTGGACACTTATCCTCGCGTTGGCCTCGTTATCAGCCAATGGGGGAACAGAAGTGGCAGAGGTGCCAGGGTCACCGGTAGAGTCCGCCGAGCCTCCCCCGCCAGCGCCTTGCTCTTTGGCTTCTTCAGGGGTCTGGTTAGCTGTGGTTGCCCGGGCGGCGGCCGCAGGGCGAGGGGCTTGCCTCGCGCTGTGCGGGTCCCTCTTTTAGTAGACGTGGTTCGGCAGGCTCTCCGCTCCTCAGCCTCTGAAGCGGCAGGTAGGGTCCAGGGGCGGCCGACAAAGCGGCGAAGCCGGCAAGGCCGCTAAAGCGGCGGTCCTGCCTTCCCGCGGGACTTCGCAGCACTTTAAAACGCCGTGCTCCCGTGTCTCCTGTGGAAATGCTGTCTTCCTCTCCGCCACCCCAACCTCCAGCTTTACCAGCCCTAGCATTATTAATAATGGATGTAATATCACTTCTTTTCTTCCACGCCAGGTTGTCTTTTGGTGGCTTTCTGTTGTATAAACTTGCTTGTCTCTTAAGGAGACTGAAGGATATGATTGTTCAGTTTAATTCAAAAGAGACTGGTGTTTGCATCTCTGTAATTAAAAATATATTTATGCGGCTAGCAACTCCTTGCGTGATTCTACCGCCCAGCAAAACGGCGGGAATAGAAGTCACCACAGGTTAAATTATTGTGATTGTTGGCATTCTATTCAATGTGGCGTACTAATTTTCTTTGATCCAGAGCTTTGCTTTGATGCTGTTGTTAGGTCAAGAACCCGAGACTGGCAGGAGGTAGCTCAACTTCTCAAAGCAAGGTTGTTACTAATGAAAAAGGCAGATCTATCACAATGCTTTTTTTTTTTTTAGAACCATAAATGAATGAGGATTTAGGTTATGTGTGTATTCTCTACAGCTTTTAGCAAGTGAATGCTAAAAAATTCTGAGTCCATTGGTGGACCTTGAGTGAAAGAATCTTTCAGGCAACTGCCTAACTATAGGTATCTTTCATGTAGCTTAACTCCTTGCTTCTAAAGTATGACTTCCTGACAAGCAGCCCTTGTAATTTTGTTGGAAATGCAGAATCTTAGGCCGTGCTCCATGTACTGAATCATTATTTGTATTTATTTTTGTTTAACAAGATCCCTAGGTGACCAGAGCGCTTGTTAGTTTGGGGAACATTCATTGTCTTCATGATATGCTTGTCCAAACTTAACAAAAGAAAATAAAGATGCACAGTGTATATCCACTTGTGTTGTAATCAGCACGGAATGTAGAAAAACAAGAAAAAAGTAATTTTCTTCTGCAATTTCATCACTTACTAGTGAGGCTATGATTTTTTAAAAATGTAAATGATGTCTAATGGCAGTGTTAGCATAGCAACCAAAAGTAGTCACACTAAGCTGCATCCAGAGCCTCCCTCCTTGATATCTTTTAAAATTTGAGAGTGGGTCTGTATATCAGGCTGCGTATGAATTTTCTGTCCTTTTACCTCAGCCTCTCAGAGTGCTGAGATTATAGGGATACAGTTCAGGTGCTGATTTTAAAAGGAGAAAGGCCAAGACAAATGATAAATACTAATGGTGACAAATGCAAATTCAACAAGCTGATATTTACCCATGTAATCTGTGTAAAGTCTAGTTTCCCATTGTAGTATCACCCCACAGTTTTGTTCCATGTTGCAAGAAACACATGCAGTTAGTTTCTTTGGAAGGAAAGAGTAGATTTCCTGCTGCTTTTGTAGTTTTGTTTTTGTTCTTTCAGTTTTGTTTTGGATTGTGTTATCTGGTAGTAAAACTGAAACCTACTTCCAAATAACACAACTTTATGTTGTTCAGTGTGTAAGGAAAATCTCTTGTAGAATTTTCATATCTTATTTTCACCAGAAATTACCTGGTGTACTTAACTAAAGTAAGTCTTGAGCCGTACCTCCAAAGACTGCTACTTGGGCCTGGGTTATGGCCTAGGAAATTTGTATTTTAAGAATAATCAGTTTTGTTTTGACATAGGTTGTCTAGATACACTGGTTATTTTTTTTTTGGGGGGGGATGTTTTTTATTGGTTTATTTTTTGTCTTTAACACAGGAGCTCGCTGTGCAGTTCAGGCTGGCCTTGAACTCACTTTGTAGCAAGGGTGGTCTTGAACTTGCAGTGATCCTCCTGCTTCAGCATCCTGAGTGCTGGGACTATAAGTGTGCACCACATGCCCAGCTTATTGGTACATTTTGGATATACATAATAGTAACATTTTACCTGTATGTGATCTATCTTGATTCTTTTTCCCATTTCCCTCCCTTCAACCTCTCTTCTCTATGTTTACAGAAACTTTGTTTCCATTTTTCCTTCTTTTTTTTTCTTGACATTACTGTTTTCAGTACAAACACTACAGGAAAGCACATCTATTTGTTCTTGTGCATAAGGTAGAAGGGAGAATGAATTTTTTTTAAGAAAACCTTTATTTTTTGAGACAGGATCTCAGAAATGTAGTTGAGGATGGCCTTGAAATATGTATCTCAGCCTGGCCTTGAACTCACCACAGTCTTCCTGCTTCAGCCCCTGGAGTGCTGGGATTACAGGCGTGCACCACCATGCCCGATGATTTTTTTGTTTTTAATACATTATGATTCACTGGCTGCTGCAAAATTGCTCATATCAGCATTTCAGTTATTTAAAAATGTTTTGAGGTCCACCCATTTGGGAATGGAGAGGGTAGGAAACATTTAAAGTCATTTTTCAGCCTTTGAATGGACATATTTCTATCAACTTGAGTGCTTGAATGAAATTAATAAAGGTAATACAAAACCACAAACTATGATACATAAATTGGGGTTAAAGTGCTAATTTTAGTTTATCTGTTTCCATTTTAAGTATTCTATAGCTTGCTCTTATAAAATCAGCCATGTATGGACTGTAAACTCTACAGTCCAAAAAGATATTGATCATTTAATGGGATTTGGATAATGCAGTTAGGAAAGGATGTCAGAGTAACTTGATATTATTAAAAATATTAAAATGAAAGAATGAACTCTTAACAATAAGTAGTTCTCCTTTGAAAGTTTACAAAACTTCCCTGACTTGGGGGGCAAATCATAGCTTCTGCCTGTCTTTCTTGCTTTCCTTTAAGCCTTTTAGAAATGTGGCATTTAACCACAGCTTTCAGAGCCATTTTGTTAAGTGCTTTGATGACTAGTTTTTTCTTTCAGAAAGCCTTTCATAGATCCTGTTTTGAGCCTTTGCCTTGTCAGTGGGTTTGGAAGATGACAAGTTTTAACCTTTTTTGACTTTTGTTTATCTCAAAGGAACAGGAAGGTTATATAGACACTAATCCTCTAGTGATCTGAGCTCAGTTTCTATGGCTAGGTCAATTTGAAATGGTTGATCACTGAAGAATTGTGTAGAGTATGTACATTATGATATTCACAGCAAAGAAGTGGTCAAAGGAAACTCCTACTTGATAACTTTGCTTTTGTGTAACTCTTATATCAGTACTATAACATATAACAGAATAAAACTATAGTATTATACAGTGCAGTCACCAAAAGTTACGGTAGTGTGTAAACAACGTGTATTATACAAAAAAGATGAGTTATAAGTCTTGAATGGTGGCTCATGAGTCTGGAGTGTTTTTAAACAGGAAAGTCTTTAAATGAGGAATATCTGTATATAACTTTTCAAGGATCATTCTTTCTACATAATTACTTAATTACCTTAGAATAGTTTAGATGTGAGTAGAACCTCTTAATTTCAAGACTGGCATTTTATTTTAAAAAAGGATTGCATTCTGTAAAAAGGTTATCACCCAGAATATTTAGTTCCTAATTATGACTTTTTTGGGGGACTCCCCTCTCCTCTGATACGGGGGATTGAACTCAGGACCCTGCACATGCCAGGCAAGCAGTTATTCTACTGAACTATCTCCCTGACCCGAAAGTTTGTGTGTGTGTGTGTGTGTGTGTGTGTGTGTGTTGCAGGGTCTCACTACACAGCTCACAGCCCAGACTTGTAGTGATCCTCCTGATTTTTGCTTCCCTAGTGCTGGGATTACAGGGATGCGCCACCATGCCCAGACTCAAAGATGTTTCTCTTTTTTTTTTTTCTTTTTGGTGGTACCAGGGATTGAACTCAGGACCTTGGGCTTGCCAGGCAAGCACTTATTCCACTGAGCTATCTATCTCCCCATCCCTTTTGGGGGATTTTGAACCAGTAATTGGTTTTGCAGGTTCCATCTTGAATAGACCTTGTGCTAGTGATAGCATATAAAACTTACAGGAAAACTGGCCTGTAAACAGGGATATTCAGGGTGCTTTTTATAGAGACATCTTCAAGCAGCATACCCTCAAATCCCTTAAGTATTTTATTTTTGGTTGTTTGAGAGTGGATCTTGCTGTGTGGTCCAGGCTGGCTTTGAAATCACTATCTAGCCCTGATGGCCTGGGGATTAAGGTATGTGCCCCTCTGCCTTGCCTTTAGTCTTTTATTTTATTTTATTGAGAAACAAATATGAATGAGAAAATTTCAAAGCTGATTAATAGGACAGTTTCAATAATCAATACATTGTACATTGTTATCTTCTTAGTGGTTATTCATAGTACAAGAGGCAGACAGGATATCCTCTCCAAACACTATTAGTACATATCTTTCATATTGAATTAAGCGAAAGTAGCTGTATATCCTATTTTGTATATACAAATACAAAATGTTCTTTTCCTTTGTATCCTTTTTTTTTGTTTAGTCCTGTCAGAGGTGGGTATTTTATTGGCATCTAAATACTATAGGTGCTTGAATTCAGCAAAACAATCCAACACTGTCCAGCACTCTATAATAGTAGTGAGTTATCCTCAGAAGTTATTTACTTGAGCCTTTTACAGCTTATCGTATTAATATGGCTTTCCTTTATATACCTCGTTTTTATACTTCTCTGCTGGATGGTTAAGACCAAGATAAGGCAAGACCTATATAACAAGAAATGTAACTTCTGTAGCTGATAAGGTCAGCCAGGTACCCTGAGGATTTATCCTGTAGCCCTGTACCGCTTTGTAGATGCTTTGTCAGTGTCAGCCATGAGGATGAGTCACGGCCATTGCTTGACCAATTTGCTCTCTGTGAGAGCCTGAGAGAATGTTTTCTCTCCATGTGACTTTCCTTACTTGCCTTTAGTTCTTGTCAGTGTATTTAGTCCATTGCCCTTTCTTTTATCCTGAATTTTTAGAAATGACTATAGAAACAATATTTTCCTTTTGAGAGAATTACTTGGCAAACATCCTACTCTAAAGTCTTTTCAGAGTCCTGGTTACAGTTGCTTGAAGAGGTTTTTTTTTTTTTTTTTTTTTTTTTGTGGTTTTTGTATGTGTTTGTTTTGAGACAGAGTCTCACTTTGTATT